GAAAGCTAGTGCTCGTGGTTGGCGTCTGCTGTAACTCAGGCAGAGCAATCCCTTTGCCTTTTACACGAAAGCCACTGTTGCTCACGGCCACTTCCCTGAATATGAAAGAGCGTCACTAAGTCAAAAGGGAGAAACACCAAACATCCACAAATAGCTAACTCTAGAACTACATGGAGGGAAAGCCTTACTGACTTAATTCCCAGAGCATGGACCTGTTCGTAGAGCAGACTGGTCACGCAACTGACCTGGATGAAGGGGCTCCTGGACCCTCATCTCAGTTATGCCGGCCTCATTCTGCTTCTCAATTTGGAAAATAACTGGGCTCTTCCCGTCTTTTATCGGGGCTACATGTAAGGGTTCTACAACACCACCTATAATGAATACAAGGTTGGCTCTGGGCTGGTCTTAGGACGGCAGCCAAACCAGAAGGATGTGTGTGCTGATTTTATGCTCCAGCAGAGGGCAGTACCACATAAAAATTACTCTCAAGGAGACCCTGACCTGTACCATCTTTTGTCTATTACGGCAAATTTTCTATGTTGTTGAATGATTGTTCAACCACCAAAATGGGTGCCTTGTCCACACGGGGTATCTAGAAATATCAGTGGGCAATCCTGGCAAACAACTGAAGCCCTAACCATTTTAAACCTTACAAGTGAAGGAAAGCATGGCTTGTTTGAGTCTCTCTGGCGAGTCTTCCTCAGTGTGTGTCCTGCGTGTGTGTGGTGTTTATTGCAGCTTTCTTCCCCTTTCTCATATTTGCAAGCAAATACATTGGGTTCATAACATAAAGCGTCACTGTGTAACACTGCAGTATGCGAGTGTTATTTGAAAGACTATATCCTGGAATGGAGCTGAAGTGATTTCATCTAATAGCAAAAGGACCTCATCATAAGCTGTTTCATTCACAGCATGGTCAATTTAACCAAGATCCCTAGGAACACATAATGAGAAAAACTCCTATGTATTAATGAACTTACATTTTAACAGTTATTTCATCAATTAATCATTAAGTGATTTCCTTCCTTTCCACTCCCACTTTTGTGAAGTCTCGGCATATTTACGCTGTTACGGTATTTGTGCTAAAGATTTATTTATTGTAGAGAAAGAAAGAGAATGACTCGGGGGAGGGGCAGAGGGAAAGAATCTTCAAGCAGACTCCTGCTGAGCTTGGAGCCCCACGGGGCTTGATCCCACGACCCAGGAGATCATGAACTGAGTCGAAATCAAGAGTGAAATCAAGAGTCCAACACTTAACCGGCTGAGCCACCCAGGTGCCCCGCTGTTATTTATTTGCTGAAAATCAACTTAAAAAGTATTTGGGGTTATTATGCAATTGTGTTCTGGTTCTATTTCCGTTGAGGATTACTCTTTGATATGCCTGAATGCAACAGAGACAAAAGTCACCCTACATTTAATCTAGAGTCCGAATGAACTTGTATTTAAAAAAACTTTTGGCTAAATTTCTCTCTGCTAATATACTTCTAATAATTGAAACTTTTCATAAGGTAAATGCTAATTGATAAGAGATGTCAGTAGGTGCAAATAATGGTAGAATCAAATTCAAACAGTATGGTCATGTCAGCTCCCCCATTTAAAAAAACCCCGCCTACCCTGGCACTTCCCCCACACAATTATAAATGGGAATTTTAAGCTTTCATAGCCAGAATAGGAAATTATTAGCAATGAGGACTTTGGAAGCAGTGATGCCAAATGGGGAGATGAGGGGTGGGACTCTGTGGTCATGTGCTTTTCCTGGATTCCTGAATTTGACAGTAAAGGAACCCACTCCGCTCCACCCGTACCTGAATCCCCTGAATTCTGTCTTCACGTTTTTGATCTACCTCAAAGGTCAGTTCAGCAGACACTTAGGAACAATAGCCATGTTCAAGATACATATGATGGTAAGTTCCATTGAAAGTCCATTTTGAAGACGAACCATGAGAGACTATGAACTCCAAGAAACAAACTGAGGGTTCTAGAGGGGAGGGGGGTGGGGGGATGGGTTAGCCTGGTGATGGGTATTAAAGGGGGCACGTTCTGCGTGGAGCACTGGGTGTTATGCACAAACAATGAATCATGGAACACTACATCAAAAACTAATGATGTAATGTATGGTGACTAATATAATAAAATTTTTTTTAAAAAGTCTGTTTTGAGATCGAAAGTTTGAGTTTGGAAATCTGTCCCACAGAAGCAGTGCCTCCAGGGACCCGTGTTCCCAAACCAGCTTACAAAAAACGTTTAATTCAGGAATTTGTGAAATCTAGAACTGACAGTTCCAAAGAACCTAATCCCCACGTATAACTGTGTTTCCGTGGGAAAATTTTTCACAGTATTTCCCAGATTTAACGTCTGGGATATTAGGACCTTAAACATTTTTTAAAATTTGCAGCTGTGGCCCTACTGGATGGAAATTTAGAAGCGCCCCCCTGCCCCCCCACTACTGTTCCAAGCCACTGAGGGGGGTCTGTGACCTGCCCTCAGTAGCTTGGAACGTGGCTTGGAACAGTGGGTTGGGAAGTGGGGGGGGGGGTGTACCAGGGAAGTTGGTGAGGCAGCAGAGGAGGGGAGGGAGGGCAGGGTAGTGGGGTGGTATTATTCCAATCCTCTCCTCCCTCGGGTTGCTCTTTCTTCCCATTGCACCTCTGTTCTCTGTGAGCTGGAGGCAGAGGAATTCTCTGGAAATAAGGGAGACCTCCCTGCCCTCCCCACCATGGGAATGATGGCTGGGCATGGGGCTGCAGGGATCACCTGTTGTTGTGGGTCTCTGTCTGGGGGGCAGGGGTAGGCCTAGAGGCGGGGAGGAGGGAGGAGCCAGCTGAGGAAAGGGAGCCAAAGGGCTTTTCCCTCCCGTCTCCCTCCCTCTGGGCTCTCCCCACTGCTTCTACCCTGTCAGAGCCTCTGCAGCCTGGTGCTGAGCCGGGGTGATGAGTCTGCCAGGATGGAGATGGTTAGGAGGGTACTGTGCAAAGATGGAGTTCCCCAGCAGCACGGAGAGGGGAGGGACTTTCTGTGGCACTGGCCAGGCAGCGGTCAGCAGGACATTGGTCAGGCTGGGATCCCCTCCTTGTATCCTAAGGGTGGTGGGACACAAGGTGACGGCATCCCCTGCTGGGGGTCCATACCACGCCGCACTGAATAATCACAACCCTTTTCCCTAGCGTTGTCAATAACAAATACCGAAAGCTCCTCTATATTTTTCCCCAGCACATTTTGGGCTAACATATGGGGGGGGCGTGTCGCGTGTAGCTTAATGAGAACATGGAACATAAAAATCAAATTCCTAGAAGATTAGAGCCCCTTTAATGAGTTCTGTATGGTGCCTGGAGCATGGCTGACAATAATTATTTAACGACCCCCTCACTGGACATCAACTGCTGAAAAACCTATTTTTTAAAATCTCCACATTTTATTACGGGCTGCTCCTTTAAATACATCCTGTGATAAACCTGACATTTATCTGATAAATCAGACAAGGGAAGATGAGCTGGGTGTGATGAACCCTGAAGGAGAAGTGATGAGTAAATCTCCATAGATTTTGCTAGTTTAGAGTTTACATTTGATAGCGAAGCTGACTGTATATATTAGCAACCTAATAAAACCCGCTAAAACTGTTCGTGGAAAACTACGTTAGTGGTTGAGAAAATAATTTTCTTTTGCGTTATTCCTAATCTTTTTTTGTACTCCAATCAATGCTCTTCATCATTTTTGCTTATTTTAATCAGGGACGTAGACAGAATCCCACCAAACCGAAAGAAGTGCCTTAGTTGTCTGAACCCACAGCCAAAACCAAATAGCGCTTTTATGAAATTGTCAAGCAAGCCAAGGCTTTGCCTTGCATCTGTTACCCTGTAAAAAATCGAGAATATCGGATCTCTCCAGTAACAAACCCTCCCATCCTCCACACTTTACCTCCCCTTAAGCCATCAAATAAGAACACCAGATATTGTTTGGACCCAATTTTTCATTTGGTTTAAAATCCTTTGAAGTTTGGATTTTAATACCGATTCCCGGTTCTTGGCTAAACCGCTATGTAGTGCTTGTTACAAGTGGCCCTGTTTCCAGTTGGGATAGCAGGTGCTAGAAGAGTGGTTAGGTTGCAACCATGGGCCAGGTGATGTTTATTTATTTCTTAACTGAGCTTGATCTCAGGCGTGAAACACTCAGCCTTATATAAAAGATGTAAAAGTAAACATTAAACTAATTTTTAAAAAGTCTTGGGTAACAAAGGGCATTTGGTGTACTCTCTTTGTCAAACACCATGCCCAAGGTCCTTATTCCCCCCGATTCCTGACTCTCTCTTCCCACCACCAATTTTGCATTTCTTCCAAAAATGCTTGAGCAAATGACATTTTTGATAGTGCACAGATTACCAAAGTATTTGTATAAAAGAGACGGCACATATGGTGTGAAGGTACGGCCCCATAACACCAATATCCTGCTACTTCACCTAAGCACTTTACGACCAAAACAGGTAACTTCTCTGTGCTGTTTTCTTGTCAGCTGTGGGAGTGCTGTCCATCCTGAAGGAGCCCATGGATGACGATCGACTGGGGCCATCAACAATCCTAGTTCTTATTTTAATCTTCCACAGCATTGAAGGGAGAGGATAATTTTATTTTCATCATGGCATGAATCCACTCCGATTGTAGACTTTGGCCCAGGCCCCTACAGGAGTCTACAAAGTATCTTTCCCGCTTCCAGGTTCAAATATTAAATTAAAACCGAGGTGCAAAACTAAACAAAAATCCGCCACCAAAACATAACCCACCCCTCCAAAAAAACCACCAGCTTTGGGGAAAACCAATGTCCACGGTTCCGTGTCCTTATCCTAAACTCTTAAAAAAAAAAAAAAAAAGACAGATCCTCAACCTGTGGTTGTTTCAAGGTCCTGTGGCTGGCTCAGGGTCCAAAGAGGCCAGTACGAAGCAGCGGAGGTCTAGAAGTTCCTGGGGTGGTCTCCACGCCCCCTCTTGGGCCACTCCTCGTCCACCCACCTGTGCAGGACCTTCTCCACGTCAGCCCTGTGGTAGAATCTGCACAACTCCATCAGTTGGCCCACTGGTCTCTGGCTGTTCCGCAGCAAGAACTCCAAGGTGGGGCTCTGAGGCCTCTGCTCCAAGAAACACAGTTCATCATAGGGCATGCCCCATTTGCTGGCAAAATTCCTCCAGTTTTTTACTGTCGGGTGACATGGATCCAGCTTTATCCTGATGACGTCAAGCAAGTCCTGATCATTGAGTAAGTCACTTATGGTCGGGGCCCGGAGCGAGCAGGCGGGACAAGTACAGTTCTCCTTGCAGGACTCGCCTTTGCTTATATCTGCAGGAACAAGCAATACAGCCCACAGGTCAGCAAGAAAGCAAACGCATGCGTCCATCTCTCCCGTCCTTGATTTTCCTGCTCAAATGCCAAGAGCACCAGTGAGAGTGTAACACAGCGTAGCCTACAGATACTCATAGATGCTTTCAGGTTACTCATTTCCATAGGCTCACACAACGAACGTGGCGTTCTTGACAGCCAAGGGATGGGTGGCTTTGCTGGAAGCACTAGTAAGACTTTATACAGCCAGTTTCCCTTTCTTTCGGAGACTCCCTGAGTCTCACATTGGGCATTTGCGAGACTGCTGGCTGGAATTTGGGCTCCGAGGAGCACGGCTCTCTCTGGGGGCGGGTCCCTGGTGGGAGTCACACTGCACTGTCCCACAAGTAAACTAGCCCATACTTGCCTGAACCTCCACTCTTACCCCTTCCAAGTTACAAGTCGGCCCTGACGGCTTTTTAATGCCAAACACAGCACGTTGGGGTATAAAGGATTGCAAAACTCTTTAAAAGGCCTTCAGACACACACCCACATACACTGAAAACTGGAATATTCACTCCATATGCATATTTGAAACGGAGTGATAATTGATAATGCTAGAAAACTTACTTTTGAGATTTATGGCCACCTTATCATCCTTTGCCTTTATCTGTGTTTTCTTCACTCACTTCACTTCTTCTGCCTTTGAAGTAGAGCCAATACCCTGAGGTGTGCACCGTGGGATGGAAGAACAGGAGGCTTTTGAGCTGAGCCTCACCAAGAAGGGCACAGCCCCAGCCCAGAGGAAGGGCAAACATTCTTCCATCAGTCATCTTTAGCTTCATTTCAATGCAAGGAGGCATGTTGCAGGGTGGGGTGGGGGGGGGGGAATGAAGGAGTCGGGAAGAAGTGCTCACAAGTCACTTATCATTAAGTTGCTAAGTGGTGTTTGCACAACATGGCAACCTGAGTGTCTTAACTTCTGCATCAGCACCGGGGCTCCTGACCCTTCTGACCAGGGATTTTAACAGCCAAAGGCTACACGAGAGATCACTGGCTTGGAAAATTCTGGGAGGTTGGTTACAATGACCTTTACTATACTGAGCCCTGGACTTCCCAATTTAGGAAAGGAAAGAATTTGGGAAAAAGGAGTGTCTTCGGTGATCTGAAGGTTGAGAACCAGCCATCCGGAGGCAAGCACAAACGACAAAATGACAAGAACCATGAAAATCCTGCTCCTACTCTTTGACCTACTAACATAACTTCTGGGAATCCAGCCTAAGGAGATAATCTAGAATATGTATACACATGAATGATTTTAATTACAGTCTTATCTTTATTATCCATTTTTTTAAATAAATGCCAAAGGTGAGGGACTAGTGGGATAAATTATTGTACTACTTGATGGAATTTTATTTAAGTAACTATGAAGACTAGGTAGCGACCCAGAAAACACGTGTGCTGTAATTTCAAGTGAAAAGTGCAAGATGTAAAGAATGTGCGTCCTTGACATTAGAAGCGTGAAAACTCTATAGTACGGAAGGAAATGCACAAAAATAGTAATAGCTATTGTCTTAATTCTGTAGGATTGTTTCTGTTTTCCAAACTTTCTCCAGTGGTGTTTTATTTCTGTGGTAACCAACACAATGTATTACACGAATAAGCAGGCTCCCACCTGACTTTGAAGGTCACCTGGACCTCCTGTGGCTTCTAATGCCCCCCTCACCCCAGCTCCCCTTGGATACGGCTGCCTCTGGAACTGGGCCCAAGGCTCCTTTGCCCCTTTGGACACTGTCTATTGCACGGCAGGGTGCATCCTCCCTGAAGGTTCCTTCCGACAGCCGAGCCCCAAAACCCCAGCCCCAGCCCACCATGTCCCAGCTGCATCCCTCCCCCATCACCTGACGTGCTGAGATCCCAGCCTGTCTCGCTCCCTGCCAAGTCCTTGAGAGGGACAAGGAGGTGCTCCAGTTCTGTTCTTAGCCCGAAGCTTTCCCCTCCCACCCTCCCACCCTCCCTCCCTTTGGTCACCTCCTCTGCTCCCAGTGTTCCACCACACACTCCCACTAAAATGGAAGGCCCCTTCTTTTTGCATCTGTGGGACCCCCCCGCACAGCCCTTGACATACAGCAAATGCGTAAGCAATGTTTATTGAATGAGTGAGTGAATGCACGAGTGAACAAATGAGTGAGTAGCCCTGCTTGCTCTTCTGGGCTCCACAACTGAGCACTGGGAAGCCCCTCTTGATGTTCAGATGACATCTCCAACTCAGGGGACCTAAAACAGTACTGAAGTGTCTCCCCCTAAGCATCAAAAGCACCCTGACCCCCTACTGACACAGCTCCCTAGGTGTCCTTGTAGACTTTTTCACCGTATTCAACCAGTGACCACGTCGTGGCCTCCACTGGAAGCTCTCCATGCTACAATTCCTGTCTTCCGTCCCAGAACTTCCTTAAATACAATCTGTGCTCCAGACCAGCTGGACTACTCCATTCCCCGAATTTCATCCATCCTGTAAAGCCTACCTCAGATTAATTAAAAGAAAGACTAATATAGCGCAGGGTAGAAAAACTGGAAATTATATACCATTACAGATTTTGTATAAACTATTGAACATTTAGGGTTTTTTCCAATTCTCATGACTAAGAGGAACAATATGATGCAGACCCTTGCATATATATTTTTGGCCACATCTATACTCATCGTACCCAGTAATGGGATTTTTAGGCCCAAAAGTATGAGCATTCTAAGGCTATCAATGCATGTGCCCCAAAGTGCTTTCCAGAAATAAAGGTGGTACTAATTTACACTCCAACCAGGGAACAGTGATGCCGCTTATCTCACTTGACCTTTGTCAGCACCGAGTGAAAAATGTTTGTTGGTTTCACAGGCAGGAAAATTAGGCTTCATATTCTTCTGCCTCCACATGTCTTTGCTGGTGTTTTCTCTCTGATCAGTTTTCTCTCTTCTCCCCCTCTCCCTCTCGCAGGACTCCTTCTGCTGAACTTCATCCATCCTATAAAACTCACCTCAGATTCACCCCTTGCATGAAATCTCCCCGGCTGTGGCCCGGAATGCTGCCCCATTCAGAATCCCATCATTTTGTTTGTATTTCCTGACTCTCCGTTGCGGTGAGATATTCTGCATGGTTTTCTTGTTCCTCATTACACCTTAAATGACCCAGAACAGATCCAGATCATTCTGCAGTGTGCTCTACATCTTAGAGTTTAAAAATGTTGCATTACATTTCTATGTAATATAGCCGTTCTTGAGCCATATTAATAATGATGCATTAAGAAGTAAAGCTTTGGGGCGCCTGGGTGGCTCAGTTAGTTAAGCATCTGCCTTCGGCTCAGGTCCTGATCTCAGAGACCTGGGATCGAGCCCTGCATCGAGCCCCGCATCGGGCTCCCTGCTCAGCGGGGAGTCTGCTCCCTCTCTCTCTGCCCCTCCCCTCTGCTCATGCTCTCTCTTTCTCTCTCTCAAATAAATAAGATCTTAAAAAAAAAAAAAAGTAAAGCTTTAGCAGCACAATGGGACAGAAGTCTATTTGTTTAAAAAATGAACTTTGTAATGGTAAAGGTGATTTTTTACTAAAAGAAAGGTATAAGGGAAATCCTGCAATTTTCTTTGCTTTTATTTAAAGGTAGGGTCAAATGAACAATATTCCATCAAATGGCCAAGAAAGCAGGCTACCAAAGAGTATGTATAATTCTGATTTTCTAAAAACAAACAATATAGTAGGGGCGCCTGGGTGGCTCAGTTGCTTAAGAGTCTGCCTTCAGCTCAGGTCATGGTCTTGGGGTCCTGGGATTGAGCTCTGCATCAAGGCAGGCTCCCTGCTCACTCTCTCAAAAATGAATAAATAAAATCTTTTTTAAAAAGACCAAAAGACAATATAGTAATTCATACCCATGTAAAGCATATATTATATATATAGTCACAGACAGAAAAAGTCTGGAAGCATGTATAACAAAAATGTTACCAGTGGATATTTCCTAATTTTTTTTATAATGATTGTGTTTCTTTGGATACCTCAAAAATATTTTTTATATGTCACAGAAAAAGAAAGGAGGATTTAAATCTCAAAGTCCAGAATTAAATGTATTGGTGCCCAAGGGTGATCTCTGGTACCACCTTTGTAAGATTCATTGTTGGCAAGGTTTTCTCCTTTGGTGTCAAGACCACGACTAAAAATAATATAATAATAAATAATATAAAGAAGAAAGACATCAGTAAGGTTTCTGTGAAGCTCCTTTAAGCCCTCTAGTGTAAGAGAAGCTTTTCTTTGAACAATTACATTGACGATTTATTAATTTGTTTGAAAATAGATGATGTGCCAAAAATCTATCGATGTTTTCCTTTTGTATTTTCCGTGACACAAACCACAAACCGTTTATTGAATTGCAAGCTCCACGAACTGCCAACACTAGTGAATTTAGAGCTGCCTTTTAGAATCATAAACTATAATTAGCTCTCTGGCGGACTTAAGAGGAGAAACATGTTTTGTTTTGTTTTGTATCAAATATATTTTGTCCTGCCCTGCTTTAAACACCTATCATGTAATAGTGCACATAAAAGGCTAGGCTAGGTGATGCCTTGGGGAAGAAACAATTGTGGGGAGAGAGACAGAGGACCAAAGAAGCTTTCATCAGAAATGGGGAAAAATGGGATTATTATCTGATGCCTCTCAAAAAACAAGCAAAAGATTGCTGTACAGTTGAAGCTCAGAAATTGTTTGCCAGATGAATGAATAAGAACTATGCTTTCTCCCAGGAGACAAGGGACGCTTGTTACTTTTAAGTAATCTGTACACCCAGTGTGGGGTTTGAACTCACGACCCTGGGATCAAGAGTCACATTCTACCCACTGAGCCAGCAAGGCACCCCCTTAGAGACTTGTTATTATTGTTTGATGACTCTTAGGACTTGAAGAGAGAAAGTTAAAAGAAAGGGAAGTTTGCTGGTGTCTCCTGGTGATAAATAGATATTGGTGGAAAACAATACAGTGTTGGTTAAAAT